AGACATGAACTGGAAGTTTATCCAATTTTGCCACTTTGCTTTAAAAAGAAGAAAGAAACCATGTTTTCCAATTACCCACACAATTAAGATTCTTTGCATTTCTTCGTTCATTAGAGGAATCACCATTTAATATATCTAAAGCTAGACCTATTAAAGAATTAAAATACTCTGTAGCACTGCTTTTCAAAGTGTGTAGTCCAAGAAACTTGAGTTGGAGAGCTCCAAAAAGCAATCTGAAAAAGACAGTGTAGCTAGTTGGGAGTTAAATTTGGGAAAGTGGATTAGTTACTATTAAATAAATAAAGACTTGGTAGAAGAACTTTTAATATGAGGTTTATGAGATAAAAATGGAAAATGGGGTAAATGCATTTAAAGATATTGGGAACCACAGTTTTAATGATGATGGCATTAACACCATCACCCCCACAATCACAATAGTAACAACAGAAGCTGGTATTTATTAAACAGTTATGTGTGAAGTACTGTTATGTACACTTTATGGGTGTTATCTTACCTGATCTTTTAGATGATAGGGACCATATTAAAAGCATTTAATAGATAGGAAACCGGTATACAGAGATCAAAGAAAATAGAGGTTATAAAGAATCTACATGGTTAACCATTGTTACAAAGTTCCCTCTTTTTTTCTCATCATACAATTGCAAACTGTTACTAATGTCAAAGGGTAAAATCTATCAGAGTTAAAAGTATACCTTAAAGTACACTATTATCTTACAATCCAAGTGACCTGTTGGCCATGATGATTAGTACAAACAAGATGATCAATGAAAATAGATTAATCCAATCAAGTGGGAGGAATTAAAAAAAATCTCTCAATGAGTATTGAGTAAATGTAAAACTAAAGAGCACAACTCATCTGGAGAAGATATAATGCTTCGAGGGAGTTTTCTCTGCAGAGGTTTAAAAAGAGACCCTTGGGAAGTCGGCTGAACAAGTAAAGAGTGGCTGAGCCACATAAATAGGAAAAACGAACAGCTACGTCTACTGAGAATAGAATAAAAGGCTCTCCCTAAGTCATGGATGGGAGCTCTGGTAGCGTAGTGCCTAAGGCACTTGACTGCTAACCAGATGGCCAGTGGTTCAAACCCACCAGCCACTCCTTGGAAGGGCAGTTGGACAATCTACATCCGTAGTGATACCGCCTCGGAAACCCAAGCAGGGGTCACTATGAGTC